GCATCTCGCCCGACGGACCAGGGCGAGCGGGCGTTTCCGTGAACTCGGCTCTGTGATCAGATGGTGCAGAGCTCGGAGGTCTCCTCTCCGAGGCAGGCCGGAGCCCGGGGCCCGGGGGGTGGCCCAGAACCCCGCCAACCAGAGCTGCCCTCCCCACGCCCAAACCCTCTCTTTTGACAAGACGATTAAAGCCGTTACTATTTTAGTGATACAGAAGCTTCTTTTAATGTAATTATGGTGCGTCCTCACCCACAGGTGTTTGGTTTTAGGAAGAGGGAGGAGCGTCAGTGTGTGAGAGAAGCGTCAGTCCGCCGCCTCCCACGCGCACCCGTCCTGGGACCCACCTGCAACCCAGGGAGGGTCCTGACTGGGAATCGCGCCCACCGCCGTGCGGAGCCCAGGACAGTGCCCCAGCCAAGCGAGCCACCGGCCAGGGCACAATGCGTCTTCTCAAAGAAGCTAACATTCCATTTCTCACAGCCAGAGCCCTGGACCCAGCCAAGGCCGCCCCCTGGGTGCACCCCTGTGCCAGGCACGTGACACCCGTTGTCTCCATAGTCCTCGTTTTAAAGTTTGATTCGGATGGATGGACGGACACCCGGGCAGACGGTGGGGTAGGTGCTATGATCCCTGTCATGGGGGGGCCTTGTCTTTTAGCAGGTGGATTACACTAGGAATAAAGTTCGTTACTAGTGGTTGGTCAGACCTGTAGTGTTGGAGTCCAGAGAAGGGGGCCCTGGGGCAGCTCCCCAGAGCTGGGTGGGAGCCCCAGCCCCAGCTCCACGGCTGTGTCATCTCCTCAGGCAAGCGCACCTCCCCCCGCCCTCGGCTGGTGGCGTCTTCTTTCTTCATCTCCAGGGAGAGGGCGCCTGTCTCCGAGCCCGCTCAGGGCCACCTGGGGACTCTCGGCTTCTCGGGGAGAGGCCTTGGGGAGCGAGCCCCCCGACAGAGGACAGTGTGTCTCTCCCAGGATGGCGCCCAGCTGTTAAGAACATGTCTCAAGCTCCTCATTTTAAAAGTCGCTCACAGAGAGGCAGGTTGAAAGCAAAGGCACCGTGGATGTTGCAGCGGGGAACAGGACCTTGGAGACAGAGGGAAGACAGCAGGGAAGTCACAAAGCTGAGTAACCAGCTTGTGGCCGCCTCCCAGAGGCAAAGGGCTGGAGTTGGAGGCCTCCAGGTGGACGGCTAAGTGCAAAGCCCCTTCGGATCTCGCCTCCCCAGCACGCCTGCACACACATGCACACACATGACCAGGACCCACGTGGCCCACGAGTCACACCTGCATGTCGTTGCCACCGTCACATCCCAGGATGGGCGGCTTCGGAAGGCACCGAGCCAAGAGGATTGACTGAATGTCAAGTGAGAGCGGAGGCCAGGGTGACTCTAGCTGCACCTGAAGAACTTGAAGGGTAGTCTTGCTGTTTTGTTTCAGTATATTTTTATTGATTTCAGAAAGGGAGAGATAGACACATCAATGATGAGAGAGCACTATTGACCAGCTGCCTCAAAGCACCCCCACACTGGGGATCGAGCCCACAACCTGAGTCTGTGCCCTGGCCGGGAGTCGAACCCTGACCTCTGGTTCCTAGGTGGACACTCAGCCAGAGCCCCGCCAGCCGGGCTTGCTGTTCTTTTTCTTTATTTACTTTTTATTTTTAATATATTTTTATTGATTTCAGAGAGGAAGGAAGAGGAAGAGATTGAAGCATCGATGATGAGAATCATTGATCAGCTGCCTCCTGCACAGCCCCCACTGGGGATCAAGCCCACAACTGAGGCATGTGCCCTTGACCGGAATCAAACCTGGGACCCATCAGCCCCCAGGCCAACGCTCTATCCACTGAGCCACACCAGCCAGGGCTTGCTGTTCTTTTCAAAGACAAGGGAGTCACCTGTGAGAAAGTCTAGTGTTGGGGAGATGTCACTAGAGGAGCTTGGTCGTTTTGGACAAATATGAGGAGGACTGAGACCGGAACCCACGCGTCCCTGGCAACATCCACAGCAGCTCCTTTAAGGGGACGTGGATGCAAATCCCAGCCCAAGTGGGTGCAAGAGAGAACGCACCCCAGGAGCAGGAGTGAAGACTGGCGCTGTGGCACCTCTAAAGCCTGGGCTGAGGGTGGGGGGTGAGGTTCCCTCCCTCCCCCCTCTTGGCACAGGAAGAGCTCGAGGAGGAGGGGCACGGGGCCACCCCGCACCCACGGTCCTGCCAGGGCCAGACCCAGCACCAGATCGGCCCACACAGCAGCTGCCTCTTCACACCGTTCTTTCAGAAAGAACCCTCCACGGAACCTGGGGGGCCCGGGAGAGGAACGGAACCCAGGGAACAGAGAGAAGGCGTAGGCTGGGCCTATGTACACTGGATTTGGTAAATTATTTTCTGAAGTCACTGGGGCAGTTAAATGACATGGGACACAAGTCCAGTTTGCAAATCAAAGTTTTATGCGATTCAAAGGAAAAAGTTACATCACACATATTCATTTAAATAAGACGTCAGAGTCTGGTGGTACAGAAAACAATTCCAAGACATTTCAAATTTTATTACTGAAGCCACTTACAAGGCTCAAAGTCAAAGATCAGGCAAAAGTGCTCAGAAAGTAAAGTGCACTGGGGGGCGGGCCGCACGGGGAAGGAGGGGGAGGCTGCCTGGGCGCCCAGAGCCGCCTGCCGCGGGGCTCCACGCGGAACCAACCAAGGGTGGCTCCCAGGACAGAATTCTTCAGACAAAACTGTTTCCCAACTTGCCATCTTTCAGGGACAGACAGAAGGCAAAGGAAGTCTGCTTCCAGGAGGCATTTCTACATCCGATCAGGAATGGAAGCGCAAATCAAAACCACGGGCAGCCCAGCCCATCTCCTTAGAAACGCTCAGAGCATGACATTCCGTGTGACGCGCGGGAAGCACTCCACCTTGGGACCCCCCACCACACTGGCAGGACTAACATTGTTTTGCATAATGAAGGAAACTACCCGAACGTAATGCCGCCGCGGACACGCACACAGAGGTGTTCATGCTGATTTGAAGGTATGAGTGGGAGAGAAAGGACCGGCGCTGTATGCATCTAATTGTTCTCCTGCACGAACCTCATTATATTTATTCAACATCTCACCTCACCAGCCTTCTAATAAAGGTAAATGCCAGGCCCAAGAGGCAGAGCCACACTCTGAACACCGGCACAATGGACGCCATCCCTCCGTTCCTTCGCACGTTCCGCCGCCTGGATTCTCGGTGCCGCCAGGGGCGGGCGCTGTGGAGCGAGGGCCTGTGCTCACAGCTCCAACGTCGCTGCCCGCGGTCTACTTCCTGTCGGACTGCAAAACACCCCCATTGCAAGGAGTTTTCTGTGTGGTCAGTTTCCTTCAAACACCACGAGTGAAAAGGCAGCTGGCTGGCAGCTGGAAAAGCACAACTTGCCTTTCCTCCAGTTCTCGATCAAGGAGCCGGACCCCTGGGCTGGGCCGCCTGCACGCACCTTCGCCTGCGTGTGCAGAGTACAGACCTGTACTTGGGTGGGAAGTTCCTCCCACCAGTGAGACCACTCCCTGCTGCTCTAAGAAGTTGCTCTGCCCACAAAAAGACTACGGATGAGGCCGCAGTAAAAGTCCCTGACAACTGGGCAGCTGGGTTGCGTGCTTACGGCATCCTTTTTTCCTTCTTTTTTGCGCCGGTGTTTGAGGTACAAACAGGGAACTGCGAACGCTGTGCTCTCCACAGAGCACAGACGGATCCTACCGAGGCTCCCTGCCCACAGGGTGTCTGTCTGTCTGTCTGTGGAGTGTGTTTAAGTCATCCTCTGGGTACATCCTGCACAAGTCACAGCGTGGACACAGGCGACTAGTTAGTTCTATGCAACCAAAATTTTGATCCTCGGGCTACAGCTGCGAAGGAATGGCTGCCTGGAGCGTCCCTGCAGAATGTCATGAGGAAGCTGCCTGCCACACTGTCAGAGGAAAGCGGCATTTCTCTTAGAGACCCTGTCAACCAGTTTGATTCTAAAAAATTCTTAGCTCTAAAAGGCCTGATTACAAACTTGCGATTTTTTTTTTCTGGCTGAATAATGTTTCAAGGTTACTGAAAGAAGGGTTCTTATAAAAACGTGAACCACTGAAAAGACTCCAAAATCATCTATCTAGAAACTGGTGATCGGAGTACCAACAATATAAATCTTTTCATAAAAAAACAGTATAAAGTCATACCCTGTCTCGTTTCTACAAAACATGAATAGAAAGGCTGTAAAAATCCAGATTTTGTAGAATTTATTGCCGAAATGTTTGAATGCTGGTGATTTAGATCGTCAAATTTTCTTCCATTTCTGTAAAAAACTTCTGAAACTACAAAAGACACCGAACAGGGTCTCAACCAAAAAGAGAACAGGTAACATACGCTCATCAGAACCAGCCTCTGCTCTTCCCCAGCCCCCACGACAGTGGTTTCGGGAGCGAACCATCAGTCCGTCCTTCCCTGAAAAGCCTTTTTAAGCTCCCACGGGCGACTCCCTGCGGCCCTTCAGGCTGAGGCTGGCCGGCTCACCAGCGGGCTCCTGGGTTTCTCTGCCGCGGCGATTCGGTTCAGTTTGCCAACCTCTGCCTGCCAGCCAGGTGGCTTCTTGGTGGTCACGTGAC